GACTGGTTTTGGGTTTGGAGGGATGGCCCCAGGCCCTGGACAGGGTTTGGGTTTGGTGGAATGGCTCCACACCCTGGATTGGGTTTAGGTTTGGGTTTGGGTTTGCTGGGACAGCCCCAGGCCCTGGATTGCCATTTGTATTTGGTGGGATGGCCCCAGGGTCCGGCCCTGGATTTGGTTTAGTGGGGTGCCTCCAGGCTCGGCAGGGTTTGGGTTTGGGTTTGGTGGGATGGCCTCAGGCCCTGCTGGGTTTGGGTTCGCTGGGATGGCTCCAGGGCCTGGGATGGGTTTGGGTTTGAGTTTTGAGTTTGCTGGAATGGCTCCAGGCCCCAGCAGGGTTTGGGTTTGAGTTTGGTGGGATGGCTCCAGGCTCCACTTGGTTTGGGTTTGGGTTTGGGTTTGGGTTTGCTGGGATTGCCCCAGGCCCCGCTGGGATTTGGTGGGATGGTCCCAGGCCCTGGATTTGGTTTGGGTTTGCTGGGATGCCTCCAGGCTCCACTTGGTTTGGGTTTGGGTTTGGTGGGATGCCTCCAGGCCCTGCTTGGATTTGGTAGGATGGCCCCAGGCCGTGGGATGGGTTTGGGTTTGGTGGGATGGCCCCAAACCCCACTCAGTTTGAGTTTGCAGGGTTGGCCCCAGGCCTTGGACTAGGTTTGGGTTTGCTGGGATGGCTCCAGGCCCTGGATTGGATTTGGATTTGGATTTGGATTTGGATTTGGATTTGGATTTGGATTTGGATTTGGATTTGGATTTGGATTTGGATTTGGGTTTGGGTTTGGTGGGATGGCCCCAAACCCCACTCAGTTTGAGTTTGCAGGGATGGCCCCAGGCCTTGGATTGGATTTGGATTTGGATTTGCAGGGATGGCCCCAGACCCCACTCGGATTTGGTGGGACGGCCCCAGGCCCTGAATTTAGTTTGGGTTTGCAGGGATGGCCCCAGTCCCTGGATTGGGTTTGGGTTTGCTGGGATGTCCCCAGGCCCTGAATTTGGTTTGGGTTTGCTGGGATGTCCCCAGGCCCCGCTGGGTTTGCCCCCGGCACAGGAGGAGCCCGTGGCAACCCCATTGCTGCAGTTCAGCGCCGTGCCCGGCCCCCAGCCCCTCCTGCCCTGCTGAGCATCGCTCCAGCTCAGCCCCCAGCCCACCCTGCCCTGCCCCAGCTCAGCCCCCAGCCCCTCCTGCCCTGCTGAGCATCGCTCCAGCTCAGCCCCCAGCCCCTCCTGCCCAGGCCCCGCTGGGTTTGCCCCGGCACAGGAGGAGCCCGTGGCAGGCCCCATTGCTGCAGTTCAGCACCGTGCCCGGCCCCCAGCCCCTCCTGCCCTGCTGAGCATCGCTCCAGCTCAGCCCCCAGCCCCTCCTGCCCTGCTCCAGCTCAGCCCCCAGCCCCTCCTGCCCTGCCCCAGCTCAGCCCCCAGCCCCTCCAGCCCCGCTCCCAGCCCTGCTCCAGGGTCCCCGGGGGCTCAGGCTGGGCTCGCTGGGATCAGTTCATCTCTGGAGTTTCCCCCCGGTTCCGGAGCCCATGGAGCCCCTGGTGCTCCCGGTGGGACAGGGAGGTGCACGGGACCTTCCCAGGTCCCTTGGGGGTCCCCTGGCTCCGTGCGCACTGTCCCACCCGCAGGGCTGGCACAGCCTGCCGCTGGCTCCTGCACTCCTCACTGTCCCGTCCCACCCCACAGCACCGCATAACACCCCAAAGCACCCCATAACAACCCGTAACACCCTGCAACACCCCACAGCACTGCATCCCATCCCATAACATCCCATCCCACCCCATAACACCCCATAACACACCACAACATCCCATAACACTGCATAACAACCCATAACACTGCATCCCACCCCATAACACATAACACCCCCCATAATACTGCATCCCACCCCATCCCAACCCATAACACACCATAACAACCCATAACACCCTACAACACCCCATAACACTGCATAACACCCCATAACACACCACAACATCCCATAACACTGCATAACAACCCATAACACTGCATCCCACCCCATAACATCCCATCCCATGATACCCCATAACACTGCAGTCATCCTAACACTGCATCCCACCCCATCCCAACCCATAACACCCCATAACAACCAATAACAACCCATAGCACTGCATCCCACCCCATAACATCCCATAACAAACCATAACACCCCATAACACTGCATCCCACCCCATAACACCCCATAACAACCCATAACACTGCATAACACTGCATCCCACCACATAACATCCCATAACGCCCCATCCCACCCCATAACAACCCCTAACACCCCATAGCACTACATCCCACCCCATAACACTGCATCCCATCCCATAACAACCCATAACAACCCACAACACCCCGTAACAACCCATAACAGCCCAACCCACCCCATAACACCCCATAACAACCCACAACATTCCACAACACCCCATCCCACCCCCTAACACCCCCACAACAGCCCGTAACAACCCATCCTACCCCATCCCAACCCATAACACCCCATAACAACCCATAACAACCCATAACAACCCATAACAACCCATAACAACCCATAACAACCCATAACATCCCACCCCATTATCCCATCCCGTTATCCCGTTATCCCAGGTTGGTGCTGCTCAGGCTGTGGGGCTGTGCCTGGCTTTGGCTGTGCTGTGGGGCAGGGCAGGGCCTGGCACCGGTCCTGGGTGCCATGGGGTGCTGTGATCGATTTACCCCTTGGGGTGCTGTGATTTGCTCCTTGGGGTGCTGTGATCGATTTACCCCTTGGGGTGCTGTGATTTACCCCTTGGGGTGCTGTGATTGATTTACCCCTTGGGGTGCTGTGATTTGCTCCTTGGGGTGCTGTGGGGTGCTGGAGTGCAGGAAGTCACACCCCGGGGTGCTCTGGGGTGCCGTGCATCACTCTCAGGGGTGCTGTGAGGTGCTGTAGGGTGCCATGGGTTTCTCCCTGGGGTGCTATGGGGTGCAGGGGTGCTGTGGGGTGCAGTGAATCACTCCCAGGGGTGCCATGGGGTGCAGGAATCACTCTCCAGGGTGTCATGGGTGCAGTGACTCCATCCTTGGGGTGCTGTGGGGTGCAGGAATCACTCCCAGGGGTGCCATGGGTACAGTGAATCACTCTCCAGGGTGCCATGGGGTACAGGAATCACTCCAGGGGTGCCATGGGTGCAATGAATCACTCTCCAGGGTGCTGTGAGTGCAGTGACTCGGTTCTTGGGGTGCCATGGGGTGCTATGGGTGCCGTGACTCCATCCTTGGGGTGCTGTGGGTGCAGTGAATCACTCCCAGGGGTGCCATGGGTGCAGTGACTCCATCCCTGGGGTGCCATGGGGTACAGGAATCACTCCAGGGGTGCCATGGGTGCAATGAATCACTCTCCAGGGTGCTGTGAGTGCAGTGACTCTGTTCTTGGGGTGCCATGGGTGCAGTGAATCACTCCCAGGGGTGCCATGGGTGCAGTGACTCCATCCCTGGGGTGCCATGGGGTGCCATGGGGATGCCATGGGTGCAGTGCCTCCATCTCTGGGGTGCCCCACGGGGCTGCCTCAGTGCTGCTGAGCACCCCGGGGTCCCCCTCCGGGCCAGGTCTATTTTTAGGATCACCCATCTCTCGCTGGCACGTCACCCCGAGTCCCGCAGGTGCCGGTGGCCCCCGGCACGCGTGGCCAGGCGCTCCTCCCGCAGAGACCAGACATTTCACCCCTAAATCACAGCTCCGGAGGCGAGGTCACGGCCGCGGGGGTTTGGGCACAGCCCTCTGCCGGGGGCGAGACCGCGCAGCCCGGGGACGCCCACCGTATCCCTGCCCCCCCGGCAGCAGCACCCACGCCGGGGGGCTCGGGGGGCCCCCCCGGCCGTGAGTCAGGGCTGGGGGGCGCGCAGGGTGGGGGTGACTCACGGCCGCCGCTGCTGTCCCCTCTGAGTCAACCCCGGAGCTGTTCCCTGCTGCTGGCAAGGAGGAGGAGGAGAAGGAGGAGGAGGAGGAGGAGGAGGAGGAGCGCGGTGGTGGCAGTGACTCAAAGTGACAACAACAATAATAATACGCTGCGGCACTTGTCACGGGAGAGGCGCTTGGCCGGGGTCCCTCGCGCGTCCCCGCGGCCGCCGGCGCTCCAGGGACCCCGGCCAAGGCGGGGGTGGCACCGCCACCGCGGGGTCACCTCGGGACGGGGACGGGGCACCGCGGTGGCGGCACGGGGGGCTGCGGGGGACCCCGCTCGCCGTCACCTAAAATGGCCGGTTAGGTCCCTGCAGGCTCCCGGCTGCGGCACGGCACCGCCGAGGTCCCGAAATATATTTAAAAAAAAAAAAAGAAAAAAAAGGGGGGGAAAAAAAAAGAAAAAATTCGGGTGGGTTTTCCATTTTCGTGCCGGTGGCTGCCGCGTGTCTCGCCCAGCCGGCGCAGGTAACCTACTTCGGAACGCCTCTGCCGCCGCCGCGCCGAGCGTGACTCGCCGCTGCTGCCGTGCGGGCTGCGCTGGGGCCGCAATCCCGGGCAGCGCCGCCGGGACACCGCGGCCACCGCGGCCACCGGGACCGCGGGCGCGCGGGGCCGGTAGCGGTGCCCGGGGGCTGCGGGGTGCCAGCCCTGGCCCCTCGCCGATGGCATCCCGGTGCCCGGGGGCCAAGTGCGGGGCCGAGCGTGCCCGCGGGCAGCTGGCGTGGGGTGGCACCCCTGTGTCACCGGGGGTCCGGGGCTTCCCCGGGGCTCCCCGGGCTGCCGAGGGAGGGGGCCGGGGGGAGTCCCCTGGCCGGCACAGGGCTGTGCGTGCACCCCGTACCCCCAGTCTGGTATCGTGCACCCCCGGGTCCCGCACCCCAACCCTGCACCCACCCCCTCTCCCCCTGCCCCCATCCTCCCCCAGCCCACCGGAGAGAGGGGCCGTTCGGGGGGCGCTGGGGCGGGGAGGGCTGAGCCCCCCCCATCTGTCCCCCTGCACCCCAAATCCCGGGGGTCCACGTGTCGGGGGGCGGCCGCAGCCCCCCG